AAGGGGGAGCTGTGACAATATTATAGCTTTAAGAGGTATATTTTGTCCTTTGTTTTGCAGATTAAAACTATCAGAATCATTTTAATTTATGCTGAGTAAATATCCTTGGAAGGCGACCAATGCTACTCATCTTTTTGTATTATTAACCATACAGAATGGAGTATGAAGTAACATTTAAATGTACATGGCGTACTTTGCCTGGAAGTACAGTAATACTGCAATTCATAAACACATCCAAAAATTAATATAGACAATAATTTGTGAAGGTCAGGAAACTGATTGTGGTCTGTCATGCCAAAAGACAAATGATACTAACCATCAATCTTCTCAATTCTAATTGTGACTCATCATTTTCTTTGTAATTATTATAATTCAAAGAAAATGCATTTAGATTTTACGGTTTTTTGTTTAAAATAGCTGCATTGTAAAGCCAAGGACATTTCTCAGCTTCCCATCTGTAGGAATTTAAAGTCAGAGGTGGATTTGTTGGTCTAGACAACTAGTTGATGAACAGGGAATGGGTGATGACAAGCAATCCTCTGATCGATTGAGGAGGAGCTGATAAAGGTCTAAATTCTAAGTTGAGATCCCAGTAATGATCACTACAGGGAACTGAAAGGTTTGGAAATGAACCTTGATTTAAAAATACCATTTTTAATTAATCTAATGATTTATTAAAGAAGCTTTCTCCGAGATTTGAATGAATCAGAAATTAACTCTCACTAGATCTTCTAAATCTTGGAGAGGTTACCACTATTCATCTGAGCGAAGGCATCAAGGCTGAGCTCAATTTATCAGCCAGGAATACAGAGGCCAATTGAAATTGCTTATTCAGCACAGACCATGGATCTATCACAAGGTCTTTGTGGTTTGTATGACTCATTGACATTATATAGTGAATTTACCCGGGGAAGCTATAGTTCGCAAGATAGGTTGAGATCAAGAACTACTTTATCCAAACCTACCAGAATGCTAACTATTACTTGTAGGATCTAGTCATTTCTTAGATGGATCCAGTGTTGTCGTCTCAAGAATGTTTTCTGACAAATTAATCCAACTATGGATTGATTTTATTTTGTAAAGAAGTATTTCCTAATGTCAAAAACAAAATTCATCTTCACAGAGCAGAATCTGCGCCCTCTGCCATGATATACTGGCATATGCAAAAATACCACTTCAGGTTTATTTTCTCCATCACATTCATATTAAATCACTTCTAAGAAGTTTTGTTTTTAATATTATTGAAGATTCGCTCATACCTGTCTCTACTACAGACAGCTATAAGGAAATGGATAGTCTCCCATTGCTCAGACAGCCAGAACTGAGAGGAATAATTCACGCACAGTCTGAACTGCCTCAGCATGTTCAGCTCCTGTTGTTTCACAACCTTGTGCCAGTTGCCGCACCACTACCTCACATAAATCTTTGCTGTTGAATACCAAAGAGCAGTTCCAGGTCTTTCCAGGCACCTGAATTGCATCTCGAACATCCTATCTGCATTCTCAATTACAATTGACATGCTTATATAGCTTCTGTTGTACGTTTCCTGGGCATCTAAGGATCCACATTAGCTTCATCAGTTAAATCTTTAGAGGGTAACCATTGTCTCCAAGGAACCACCCACTGAAATTGCTATTGGAAGTTATATTATGTTATAGTATAGGATAGTAAATTATATTATAGGAATGACATTAATGAACACGGGTGGGTTCAGGAAAGATTTATCATGATGTTGCTGGGAATGGAAGGTGTGAGTTATAAAAATAGGCTGGATAGGCTGGGACTTTTTTTCACGGGAATATAGGAAGTTGAGGGGTGACTTTTTGATGTTTATAAAATCATGAGGGGAATGGATAAGGTGAATAGCAAAGGCCTTTTCCCGAAGGTGGGTGAGTTCAAAACTAGGGGGCATATTTTTAAGGTGAGAGGAGAAATTTTTAAAAAGGACATGGGCAGCAATATTTATATACAGAATAGTTAGTGTGTGGAAGGAAGTGATGGATGCAAGTACGGTTAGAACATTTGAAACACATTTGGATATGTACATGATTGGAAAGGTTTGGAGGGATATGGACTAAACGCAGGCATTTGGGACTAGTTTAGTTTGGGAATATCGTTGGCATGGATGAGTTGGACCGAAGGGCCTGTTTCCATACTGTACAACTCTATTACTCTATCCCTTGAGGTGTGAACATTTCTGGGAGACTGGCACAGGGTGAACACATCACGCAAGTACACAGGCATGCAAGATGATCTTTCAGTAGTTGAACATTAAGGGACTGTAAACCTATTGACTCATAAATACTATGGTTGACCTGAGAGTGTCTTGAATGCCACATGTAGGCAATCTGTGACTCACTGGGCATGTGGGAACCTCAGCCAGAGCAGCAAATCCTCTCTGACTGACTTCATCAGCAGTGAAATGCATAAAGGAGATCCATTCTGACAAGTGGGAGCAGCTTGTGAGATTTGACAAATATCACAAGCAACTCCTTGGAAACAAAATAACTAAAGGTTGCTTTGGCCTTAACCAACATGGACAATGCGTGCCCACCTGGTCCCTTTTTTTCTGGGTGCTGTAAATATCAGTGATATCTGATCCTCCTTAGAGATGGGTACTCAGTCATACCCTCTGCCTGTATACCCTGTTTCGGGAGCACTGCATTCTAAGAGCTGGTCTGACATGAAACTCCACAAACAGCTGCACTGCTGCTGTCTAAGTTGACAACGGGGAAGTGCACAACAGAGGCAGCAAACTCCTAAGTAGCAGAAATGACCAGTAAACTATTGGAAATCACCTTCAAAACACGTGACAGATCTGTTTATTCATTTATTGCCTTATTTGGCCTCAATTACAATGGACTGATATCTTCTCACCTCACTTTGGCTGGAAAATTCAAGATAACTCAGGAAACCAGCGCACAAAGAGTTAAAAGTTAGAATTTCAGGGTTAAAACAGCAGCTAATGAGTGTTTAACAAAGTGAAGTGGAAGACCTGCCTATCCCATGATTGTCTTCCATGTGTTGATGAGCTAGCTAAGGTTCAAGGTGAAAATCAATAGGTTCTTGTCAGCTTTCTGATGTGTGGCAGCTATTTAACCTGTCACACACAAACCAACCCACAACTCCTAGTCTCCCCTTCCATAGCTTGGATCATATTTCCTTATACATCACCACTGTAAATGTTTATGCTAAAGTTTTTAATAAGTTTATGCTAAAAATACTTTTTACAGGACATTCTGGTAAATCTATATAGAACACTGGCTCAGCCTTAACTGGAGTACTGTATCATTACATAATCAGCAATTTGTGCCCAATCCTGGTACTACATTTTAGGAAGGATGTGAAAGCCCTAGGGAAGGTGCTGAAAGGATTATGAAATTGGTTCCAGGATGAGGGATAGCTATGTGGATAGACTGGAGAAGAAAACTGTTTTCCTTTTGAAACAGAGGATTGAGAGGAGGTTTGAAAAAAGCGTTCAAAACTGTAAGGAATCCGTGCAGAGTCAATTGAATAAAACTATTGCTGATGGTGGAAAGGTTGACAACTAGAGGAGATCGCTTTATGGCAAATGGCAAACGGCAAACAAACAATGGTGACAAGAGGAATAACCATTTAATACATTGTGTGTTTAGAGTCTGGAACACCCAAGACTGTGGTGGATGTATGTGGTGAGCGATGAACCATGAGTTTCGTTCAACTTCCTTCTTTGTATATTCTATTAATTCCAGGGAGGCACTATATCCTTAAATTTTAGTAGCTGTACTTGCCAAATTATCTTCATTTTCATAAAACCTACTGAAGTTCCTAATAAAACCTCCAAAAAATGGTGAGATAAAAATCAAGTTTTTTTTGTGAAACAATCTGCACAATAGCTTAGACAAGAGCTTGCATTTATTCTTTTAGTTCTGCCTGAGTTTTATTGGAAAAAAGCTAGTCAACTTAATGTAGTTCTAACAAAATAGAACAATCTGTGTTCTGTCGAACGGTCAATGGATCCAAAATGTTAACTCTACTTTCTCCCCACTGATGCTGCCAGACCTGCTGAGTTTCCCTAGCAATTTTTGTTTTTGAAATTAATGCAGTTGAACACAACCAGAGGTGTGTAACTGGGCAAATAGCCATTAACTATACTCATTTCTAGGAAGAATGAAATAATGAATTAACACAATCAGAACAGTATTAACACAGTCAAACAGCACAGGTGGCCACTAGTAAGCCTCTGCCTGCAGTTTCTGAAGTCTGTTTATGCTTTTGAATGCTTGTCCTTTCCAGGGGACTTTGCAAAGGTAAGATTGAATTTCAAAGGATTTCATAATGAATATAAATCTCCAAATTTACAATGTTTAGTTAGTTATCAGTTTAAATGTGCTGTAAACATAGAGGTACATGGCAGGGTACCTAGATAACCTTCAGAAAAAAATTACATTGAAGAAATTGTGGACACATCCAATTTTAGTCTTTGATCACTTAGCTCAACCATCTGATAGTTTGGTCTTGCATTGTGGGCTATGCAAAACTTCTTCTAAGACTGCATTCTTAGTCTTCTAATTACTCTTACCATTCTCTTTATGCACAGCCCAATTCCCTACTCTGAACGGGATTTTGGGGAAAGTAAAACAATTTCAATAGCTAATTCCAAGTTGATTATGAGGCCCTAATACCTACCTTGTTTAAGTGTGAACCTCTTACTCTTGTAATCAATTTCTCTGTCTTAAAAATAAGTACTGCTATCGATTAACTTTGTTTTGTGGCTCATTTTGGGTAATTTCATCCTTTTTCTCTCACTTAAAGCATTTCTTGTCGACCTAGTTCCTCAGATAGTTCTAATCTATCTCCAAAACAGACAGTTCTGGTTCCAGTTCTCTTTAAATGTCAGCTGGAGTCTAACTTCCAAGGATGTGTGTAAAATGATGCAGCCTCATTAAAAATTCAAGGAATTTGGCCTTTCGTGTGAAGCATACACAACCAAAGGAAAAAGTATAAAAGCATGGTCATACCTGCCAGAAGGAAATGTGGCTGTCAGCATTGGAATATGTGGCTAGATACCTTCCATCAGGAGCAAAGGACACTGCTGTTATGGGTCCACTGTGGCCATGAATAGTCTGGAGAATGGAACACAGACAAAGAAATCTGAGACATGGACCTTTAATGCTTCAATGTTCATATATCAAGCTAAACAAAGTGCTACATTGACAATTGTCTATAGATTTATGTAAAAATTAGCCTCTTTTGAAAGATCAAGATTTAATGCATTTCAACTCAATTACTGCATAATCAAAACCTGCAATAATGTCAGTCAGTCCACCGAGATTCAAACATATTGGAAAGAGAAACCTGATGCAGTAAGATATTTTTGTTTCTTGTAATCTAAGCCTTTGTGAGGATTGCAAGACAGTGCTAATTGTGACAGATTCAATCTAAGTTAAAACATGAATAGTACAATTTGTAGATCCCCGCCGATCTAAAAAAAGAAATATCTTGCATTCCTTGTTGGTTTTATGGATAACTGATCAGAAAAGTTAGACGGGGAATATGATTTTGGCCACTTTTTTCACTATTGACAATATTACACACCAGTAGTTGGATGGGGCATGAATCAATTTGGGACAGCTTATAAATACTGCCAAAACTAAAATTTGGGCACTTTTTGAGGCTAAGTGAAGGATTGAATAAGGTACATTACATACACCTAGATAAGTAAAACAAATAGGAATATACATGTAATAGTTCATTTTTAACATTAGTAATATAAAAACTGAACTGGTTTCACTTAGCTTACAAAATCTAAACAAAGAAAGATTCAACACCCTTGGTGGAATTTTCCTATTTTCAATTGAGTGTTTTGTTAAATGAGATGCAGGATGTCTGGTCTGCCAAGGTTCAGGGTGTCCGTTCTCATGTAATCTTCCATTCTTCACCTCATTAATTAGGCAATGGGGCTCCGGAAGCCTTTCTTGGGAATTATGTGGTCGGAGAGAAGGAGATGTGTTCCGATGCCCTGAGCCAGGAACTGCCCCTCAAACTGTGGAGGTTGACTGGATAAGTGCCACTATCCCTACCTGCTATCTCACACTCATAGTGCCATTTTTCACCCCAAACCTTCAACTGCCCACATCTCTCGAGGGACATGGGCTATAACTCTGACTCTTGCGTGCATCATGTCCACTCAGCAGCTCCCACTTACCTCATCCTGCCAAACCATTGGCCCTTCCTACCCTGTTTGCTTCCTACTCAGTTGGGCCATCTCACCACACCTTACACTGTTCGACCATTCACTTCCATCAGACTTAATTACTCTTTCTGTCTCAAAAAAGGAAATTTTGACCCATCCCATGAGTCTGTTTTTAAAATCATTCAGGGGAAGTGGCCAATGTTGACTGAGACTGCCTTTAGCAATTGTTCCTCTTCGTCAAAAAAGGGTCGATACAAAGGGGGTATAATTTTAAGTTGAAAGGCAGAAGGTTTAGAGGGGATTTGTGGAAAAATGTTTTACCCAAAGTGTGGAGGAGGTCTGGAATGCAGTGCAATCTCAAAACCTTTAAAAAGTACTTGGATGAGCACTTGAAGTGACATGACATTCAGGGCTGTGGGCCAAATGCTGGAAAGTGGTATGTGTAGATTTAGAGTAGTTTTGTCAGTGTAGATGTGGTGGACCAAAGGACCCCTTCTGGACTGTCTGATGTCATCATTCATTTGGGAGAAATCTGAGGACACATGGAGCGAATGAAAGAATTAGAATCTCGACATTTTCTGCTCCAGCCTCAAATGCTAACTTCAGAATCTCACCATTGTGCAGTGTCTTTCTTCAGAGCATTTACATCTCATTAAAGCCCCACTTGCAATTTTCCTTTCCCTTCCATGCATGGAAATCAGAATGGGTATCTGGTCGCTGCAGCTTGTGAGACCTATCATCTAACTGCTTCTTCATAAAATGTCCCCACAGGATCCATAGTCAGTTTTCTCCTTAACCCTTGTCTAAACAAGTCAGCATTGACAAACCATCAACCTCACCACATCACTGCACCCTCTTGAAGCAACACACACACACAAACGTACACCATTTCAGCCTTCTATGATGTGAAAGCTACTAGGTCATGTTCTCCACAGGGTCACACACAGACACGTACATCTCATGCATTTGCACAGGATGCATCTTAGTGCTTTGCTTTCTTAGTTCAGAGGGTCTTCAGAACTCAGTTATAGCGTGCCAGTCTCCATAGCTTGCATTGCTTTTATTGCTGAGGGAAGAGGCAGGCAGTTTGTTAAGGTCTGGAACACTTGAACAATCAAAGGAGTGGAAATGTCACTGTGCAGCACCGTGCTCCATCAACATCTCATTTGCAGCATGTGCAAATGCCACATAAAAAGCAGTCCTTACTGGGTTGAAGGGGTGCTATGGTCAGTTAGGGGTTAGCACTACAGTAGGTCAAGTGAGTCATTCAATTCCACTCCAGGGAGTTGGCCATGATCAGTCAGTGGCTTGGTTCTACTGGAGGCCAGATCCAGTTGTGAATGGTGATGGACAATTAAATAACTCATTGAAGAAGGGTATTCTACAAATATCCTTATCCTCAACAATAGGCGACCGCAACGCATCAATGCAAAACATGATGATGAAGCATTTGCACATCTTAATCTAGAAGTTCTGATTAGATGATCTATCTTGGCCTTCTCCAGAACTCCACAGAATCACATGTGCCAGTCTAAAATCAACTTGATTCACTCTACATGATAGCAAGAAATGGCTAAAGATACTGGCTATAGCCAAGGCTCTGACAACATGCAGCAACACCCCTAGCCAAGCTGTTCCAGCATAGCTGCAACAGTGATATCTGCTCGACAATGAGAAAAATTGCACAGATACGTCCATTACAAATAAGGCAGCAAAATCAACCTAGCCAGTTACCGCCCCATCAGTCCACTTGCAATTGTCAGCAAAGTGATGGAAAAAAGCATCAATAGTGCTATCAAAAAGCACTTGCTTAGCAATTAAATGTACACTGACACTTTTTTTTGGGTTTCGCCATGACTGTTAAGCACTGGTTTTCATTTCAGCCTTGACACAAACATAGACAAATGAGCTGATCTCCAGAGGTTAGGTGAGAGTGACAGTCCTTGACATCAAGATCTCATTTTGTGAGTGTGGCATCATGGAGCCCTAACAAAACCAGAATCAATGGGAACTGGGGGAAAACTGTCCACTAGATGGAGTCATACATAGCACGATGGAAGATAGTTATGATTGTTATAAATAAGTCATCTCAACTCCAGGATGTCTCCGTAGGAGTTCCTCAGGGTAGATATTTTTGGTAAGCAAAGTTAGATCACATGGAATCCAGGGGGAGCTAGCCAACTCGACACAAAATTGGCTTGAAAGTAGGAGACACAGGGTGATGATGGAGGGTTCTTTCTCAGACTGGAGGCCTGTGACCAGCGGTGTGCCACAAGGATCGGTGCTGGGTCCACTGCCTTTCGTCATCTATATAAATGATTTGGATGTAAATATAGGAGGCATGGTTAGTAAGTTTGCAGATGACACTCAAATTGATGGTCTAGTGGACTGTGGAGAATGTTAACTCAGGGTACAATGGGACCTTGATCAGATGCTCCAATGGACTGAGGAGTGGCAGATGGAGTTTAATCTAGATAAATGTGAGGTGTTGCATTTCTGTAAGGCAAATCAGGGCAAGACTTGTACACTTAATGGTAAGGTCCTGGAGAGTGTTCCTGAATGAAAAGACCTTGCAGTGCAGGCTCATAGTTCCTTGAAGATGGAGTGACAGGTAGACAGGGTAGTGAAGAAGGCACTTGGCTTTATTGGTCACTGCATTGAGTAAAGGAGTTGGGATGTCATGTTGTGACTGTACAGGACATTACTTAGGCCACTTTTAGAATGCTGCATTCAATTCTGTTCCCTCTGCTACAGGAAAGATGGAGTTAAACTTGAGAGGATGCAGAAAAGATTTACAAGGATGTTTCCGGGGTTGGAGGGTTTGGGCTGTTGGGAGAGGTTGAATAGGGTGGGGTCATTTTCCATGAAACCTGGAGGCGCAGAGGTGATCTCATAAAGGTTTACAAAATCATGAGGAGCATGGATATAGTCTTTTTTCCCAGGGTAGGGGAGTCCAAAACTAGACAGCATAGGTTTAAGGTGAGAGGAGAAAGATTTAAAAGGGACCTGAGGGGAACTTTTTCACATAGAGGATGGTGTGCGACGGAATGAGCTGCCAGAGGAAGTGGTGGAGGCAGGTACAATTATAACATTTAAAAGGCATCTGAATGGGTGTATGAATAGGAAGGGTTTAGAGGGATATGGGCCAAATGCTGGCAAATGGGACTAGATCAGTTTAGGATATCTGGTTGGCATGGACAAATTGGACTGAAGGTTTTGTTTCTGTGCTGTATAACTATGACTCTAATCAACTATTTATATATTTTACTAAAGTGACATTCTAATAGTCATTAATTTTACAACTGTTAGGGAACAGGTTTTTTGGATCAGCAGTTTGTATGCTTTTTGAAGGTTTTGAATTCCTGTTTCCTTAATACAGTCATTTAATTGCAAATACAAATTCTTGTCTTTTGAGTCCACCCTAGTAGTCTTCTCTTATTCTAGTTGCTTACTATCCTTTAAAAGTATTCAGGGTACAACAATGAGTACAATGTTATTTAAATTAATATTTGAAGTATAGTTTTGTTTGTTGTACCTGTGGCAGCACTGTGAAGGTCCCAGGTTGCACCTATTTATGAAGAAGTTAGCTGACATCAGGGCAGGAAAATCAAATCAGCTCGAGTTCATAATCAACTTAAAGACTGCTGAAATGCATACAGAGCTTGGAGGCACAGAGGGATCTGGGTGGACACATGCATGAATCACAAGAGGTTATTCTGCACGTATAGCAAGTAATCATAAAGACTAATAGAGCATTGTTGTTAATCGCACAGGAAAGAGAAGGGAGGTTATGCTTCAGTTATGCAGAGCATTGAGGAGACCATTTTTGAAGCTCTGTGTACAGTACAGATCCCCTTTTTTAAGGATATCAATGCATTGGAGACTATTCAGTGAAAGTTTACCAAACTAATACATGCTATGAAAACAGAAGTTG